AAATAAATTTTCAATTATAATATACAGCACACAATCAGAGATAAACAGGCCCTAAGGAGACAAGACAGTATAAGAGAAAATAACAAAAATAGATTCACAGGGACTTCATATACTGGTATTATCAAACACTGAAAACAAGTGGACTGTGGGGTGTTTGTTTGTTTGTTTGTTTTGAGGTGGAGTCTCTCTCTGTCACCCAGGCTGGAGTGTGGTGGCACGATCTAAGCTCACTGCAGACTGGCTTCCTGGGTTCAAGCGATTCTCCTGTCTCAGCTTCCCTAATAGCTGGGACTACAGGCATAAGCCAACACGCCCGGCTAATTATTGTATTTTTTAGTAGAGATGGGGTTTCACCACCTTCATCGGCTGGTCTTCAACTCTTGACCTCAAACGATCCACCCGCCTTGGCTTCCCAAAGTGCTGGGATTACAGGCATGAGCCACCGCGCCTGGCCACCTGTGTTATAAAGAAAGTTCATTGGAAGGGTTTAGCAGCAGATTAGATACAGAGTTGGCGAATGAGAAGACAGGTTAGGAAGAAATTATAGGCATTCTTTGGAAATACTGTGGGTTCCATTCTAGACCACTGTAATAAAGTAAATATTGCAATAAAGCACGTCAAATTTTTTGGTTTCCCAGTGCATATAAAAGTTAAGTTTACAAAATACTGTAGTTTATTAGGTGTGCAATAACATTATATCTAAAAAGTGTACATGTCTTAATTTAAAAATTATTGCTAAAAATGCTAACAACCTTCTGAGCCTTCAGAAGTCGTAATCATTTTCCTGGTGTGGTGTCTTGCCTTGATGTTGATGGCTGCTGATCGATCATAGTGATGGTTGCTGAATGTTATGGTCACTGTGGCAATGTCAAAAGAAGACAACAGTGAAGTTTGCTGCATCAATTGATTCTTTCACAAAAGATCTCTGTAGCCTAGGATGCCATTCGATACCATTTTACCTACAATAGAACTTCCTTCAAAACTGGAGGTAAGCCTGGGTGTGGTGGCTCACTCCTGTAACCCCAGCACTTTGGAAGGCCGAGGTGGGTGGATCACCTGAAGTCAGGAGTTCGAGACCAGCCTTACCAACATGGTGAAACCCCGTCTCTACTAAAAATAGAAAAAATTAGCTGGGTGTGATGGCACGTGACTATAATCCCAGCTACTCGGGAGGCTGAGGCAGGAGAATAGCTCCAGCCCGGGAGGTGGAGGTTGCAGTGAGCTGAGATTGTGCCACTGCACTCCAGCCTGCACAACAAGAGTGAAATGCCATCTAAAAAAGAAAAAAAAACAAAAACAAAACAAAAAAAACTAGTTAATCCTCAAGCCCTGCTGCTACTTTATCAACCAAGTTGATGTAATATAAATCTTTTGCTGTCATTCCAACAATGTTCATAGCATCTTCACAGGAGTAGTTTCCAACTCAAGAAACCACTTTCTTTGCTCATCCATAAAAAGAAACTCCTGTTCAAGTTTTATCATGACATTGTAGCAATTCAGTCACATCTTCAGGCCCCATTTCTAGTTCTCTTGCTCTTCCCACCACATGTGCAGTTAATTCCTCCACTGAAGGCTTGAACCTTTCAAAGTCATCCGTGAGGGTTGGAATTCACATCTTCCACATTCCTGTTAATGTTTTGACCACCTCCCATGAATTATGAATGTGCTTAATGGCATCTAGAATGGTGACTCCTTTCCAGAAAGTTTTCAACTTACTTTCCCCAGACCCATCAGAGGATCACTATTTATGGCAGCTATAGACTTTACAAAATATATTTCCTAAATAGTAAGACTTGAAAATCTAATGTATTCCTTGATACATGGGCTGCACAATGGATGTATGTTAGCAGGCATGAAAACATTCATCTTTACATCGCCATCAGAGCTCTTGAACAACTAGGTGCATTATCAACAAGCAGTAGTGGTTTGAAAGGAATCTTTTCATCTGAGCAGTAGGTCTCAACACTGGGCTTAAAATATTTAATAAACCAGGCTGTAAACAAATGTGTTGTCATCAAGGTTTCATTGTTCCATTTATAGAGCATAGGCAGAGTAGATTTAGCCCTAGGATTTTCAGAGTGGTAAATGAGCATTGGCTTCAACTTAAAGTCACCAGCTGCATTAGTCCCTAATGAGAGACTCAGACTGTCCCCTGAAGCTGTTTTCTTTTTCTTTTTCTTTTCTTTTCTTTCTTTTTTTTTTTGGGGGGGGGGGAATTGGGATTTTGCTCTGTTATCCAGGCTGGAGAGCTGTGGTGCAATCATAGCTCACTGCAGCCTCAAACTCCTGGGCTGAAGCAATCTTCCCACACCTCAGCCCTCCCAGTAGCTGGGACTACAGGTGTATGCTGCTATGCCAGGCTAGTTTTATTTTGTTTTGTTTTGTTCTTTTTGTTTGTTTGTTTTTAATTTTTAGTAGAGGTGAGGTCTCACTATTACACAGGTGGGTCTTGAACTCCTGACCTCAAGTGATCCTCCCACCTTGGCCTCCCAAAGCACTGAGATTACAGGTGTGGGCCACCACATCCACTCCTTTGAAGCTTTGAAGTCAGGCATTGACTTGTCTCTATTAAAGTTCCAGATAGCATCCTGTTCCAAGAGAAGGCTGTTTTGTTGTTTAATGTAGCCACCTTTTCATCAGTGATCTTAGCTAGATCTTCTGGATCACTTGCTGCAGCTTCTTAATCAGCACTTGCTTTTTCACTTTGTATTTTATGGTATGGGGATGGCTTTTTTTTTAAGCCCACATTAACAAACCTCTGCTGGCTTCCAACTTTACTTCCGCAGCTTTCTTACCCTCTGCTTTTATTGAATTGAAAAGAATTAGGGCCTTGCTCTGGATTAGACTTTGGCTTAAGGGGATATTGTGGTTGGTTTGATCTTCTATCCAGACCACTAAAATTTTCTCCATGTTAACAAAAGGTTGTTTCCCTTTCTTATTTGTGTGTTCACTGGAGTAGCACTTTGAATTTCCTTCATGAACTTTTCCTTTGCATTCACAAGTTGGCTAACCAGAATGAGAAGCCTAGCCTTAGGCCTGTCTTGGCTTTCAATATGTCTTTCTCATTGAGCTTAATCATTTATAGCTTTTAGTTTTAAGTGAGAGACATGTGACTCTTCCATTCATTTGAACCCTTAGAGGCCATTGTAGAGTTATTAATTGGCTTAACTTCAATATTGTTGTGTCTCATATAATAGGGAGTGATATGGTTTGGCCAAATCTCATCTTGAATTCCCACATGTTGTGGGAGGGACCTGATGGGAGGTAATTGAATCATGGCAGGTTTTTCCCATGCTATTCTCATGATAGTGAATAAGTCTCATGAGGTCTGATGGTTTTAAAAAGGAGAGTTTCCCTGCACAAGCTCTCTCTCTTTCCCTGCTGCCATTCATGTAAGATATGACTTGCCCCTCTTTGCCTTCCACCATGATTGTGAGGCCTCCCCAGCTATGTGGAACTGTAAGTCCATTAAACCTTTTTCTTTTGTAAATTCGCCAGTCTTAGGTATGTCTTTATCAGTAGCATGAAAATGGACTAATACAGGGAGGCCTGAGAAGAGGGCAAGAGGTTGAGGAACAACTGGTCAGGGGAGCAGTCAGAACACACACAATATTTATTAATTAAGTAAATTGTCTTATAAGAGTCTGTTTTGTGATGCCTCAAAACAATTGTAGTAACATCAAAGATCACTGATCACAAATTACCATCACAGATTTAATAATAATTGAAAAATGAAAATGATGTGAGCATTTTCTTTTTTTTTTTTTGAGACGGAGTCTCGCTCTGTCACCCAGGCTGGAGTACAGTGGCCGGATCTCAGCTCACTGCAAGCTCTGTCTCCCAGGTTTATGCCATTCTCCTGCCTCAGCCTCCCGAGTAGCTGGGACTACAGGTGCCCGCCACCTCGCCCGGCTAGTTTTTTTGTATTTTTAGTAGAGACGGGGTTTCACCGTGTTAGCCAGGATGGTCTTGATCTCCTGACCTTGTGATCCACCCGTCTCGGCCTCCCAAAGTGCTGGGATTACAGGCTTGAGCCACCGCGCCCGGCCGATGTGAGCATTTTCAAAATGCGACGCAGAGGCATGAAGTGAGCCCATGCCGTTGGAAAAAATGGAGCTTACAGACTTGTTCAACAGAGGGTTGCCACAAACCTTCAATTTATTAAAAAAACAAAAAACAGTATCTCCAAAGTGCAGTTGAACAAGGTATGCCTGTATACAGAACGAAGAATGAAAAGACAAAAAGATGTGGGATAGAGAATAAACAGAAGAGAGAGTAATATCTTAAAGAATACAGTGGAGAAGATCTGTTATATGTTTAACTGGAGTCCCAGAGGAAGGAGAGAAGAATAAGGTGGGGTCAATTTTGTAGAAGATTATGCCTGAGAGTTCTCCAGAACAGATGAAAGGCATTAGTCCACAGATTCAAAGACCATACAAATATCAAGCAAGATAAACAGAAGTTTACAACATAGTAAAAATTGTAGATAACTAAAGACAATGAGAACATTTTAAAGGCACAAGATAGAGAGCACTTACCTTTAAAAAAAAGTGAGAAATAGACTTCTTAACAGCAAAATCGAAGCCAAAAAGTAATTTTTATATAGACAGTGTCTCATTATGTTGCCCAGGTTGGTTTCAAACTCTTGGGCTCAAGCAGTCTTCCCACCTCAGCCTCCCAAAGTGTTGAGATTACAGGTGTGAGCCTCTGAGCCTGGCCAGTTGTGTGCTACTTAATAGGTACACCAAAAGCCTGTGTACTAGGTTGAAAGTAAAAGGATGGAATTAAGTTATACTATGGTATTATTATCATGTAAAATAGTTTAAGGCAAAAGGCATTACTAAGAATAAAGAAGCTCACTTTGTAATGATTAAAAAGCCCAGATCACCAGCAAAGTATACTAATTCTAGATTTGCATCTGCAAAAACAGACTTCAAAACACATGAAGCAAAAATTGACACATCTACAAGGCAAAATATATAAATCCACAATCATGATGAGAAATTTTAACATTTTATATGTATATAAAGTTAAACACATGACTAACAATCTAGTGGATGTTTATAGAACCCAACAATTGCAGAATATACATTCTTTTCAAGCACACATTGAATATTTATAAGAACTAATCATATACTGTGCCATACGTTTCATCTCAGCAAATTCCAAAGTGTTGATGTCATGAATGAAATGAAACCTGACATTTCAAAATTATAAACATAATATACCCTGGAGTAACTTGTGATATTGTTTGGGGATGAGGAGAGCCATCTGAACAGTGTTTTAAGCAAAGTATCTATTCATTGATCTGGGGTAACAGGGCAGGAACTATTCTAATCAGAAGCTTTGGCTAAGCAGTTGAGTGTTCAGTAGTGCATGTAAATTCCTGTGTGAAGGCTGTGGTGTCATGGCTAAAGGCATAGCCTCTGGAACCAGATTGTCTGGGTTCAAATCTCAGTTCTGCTGCTTAACTCACTGTGTGATGGTGGGCAAGTTGCCTAACCTCTGTGTTTCAGTTCCTTCATCTGTAAAGTGGTAGTATTCTACCTCAAAGCATTGTTGGTACATTAAATGGTTTAATTTATAAATGTATGGTGGCAAGTTCTATAAAAATAGTTGTACAGCACCACAAATGTCTGCTTGCTTTTGTGGAACCCAGTGTGTAGAATACCATAGATGAATGTATCCACTTAGGATATATATGGAAATAATAAATTGAATAGTGAAACGCCCTGGCATTGCCGGGATTGGAAAGGCAAATAGGTTTGGATGGAGACACCCATGAAACAAGATGGGCGTGACAGATGATTGGCCATGAGTTAATGATGGTTGAAGCTCAACAATAGGTACATGGAGATTTGTTGCACGGTTTTCTCTACTTTTGTAAACATTTGAAATTTTCGTTATTAAAAATGCTTTTTAAAAAAATGTTGGCCTACAGAATCCAGTTAGGAGCTCATTTCAGTTCACCTTTGCATCTGATCATTTAGTCATCCTGAAGGTTGTTCGCTTCATATTCACATTTTAGAGAGCATTTGATTCATGAAATATTTTCATTCAGTCATGTTAGAAAGGATTTTTCCCAACTCTTTTGGTCTCAAGTTGTGTTCATCATTTTAAATGTTTATTGGTGACTGAATGAGGGAGAAAGTAGATAATTGACAATGAGAAGAAAATGTGACTAAATTTCAAGTCAAATGTGGGAAATAGTGTAACTTCTATACAAACACAAAGGTTTGCGACTCAGATAGAGACACGGTCAAGGCCTCCAGTGTGCAAATATCATTATTTACTAACAAATCTTTTAAAGTTAAACAGTAGCTAAAATATCTTAGCTGTCATGTTTAATGATTAGTTTATGTAACCTCACAGCACTAACCTGGAAACTGAACTCATTTATTTTTCTTCCGCACTGTAAGCAACAGCACCTGTGGTTCAGGACTGGGCTCTCACATGAGGAGTTAATGAAGCTCAGTCAGTAAGCAGATGTTTCTAAAAACTGTCGTTTCTTGATTTCACACTGTACTCAGGTGCACGCAGCCATAGTTTTTTTTTTTTTTTTTAATATCAAAAACATAAGTGCAATGTTGGTAGTAAAGTATTGGGAATTTTATAGTCTAAACGTTATAACTCGCTTCTAATTTTCATCAAAGTAAAGTACAAGGTCTGAGACAGGCTTGGGTCTGAATCCAGTTTGCACCAGTCACAAGTTGTGTGGTTCTTGGCAAGTTTCATAAGCCATCTGAGCCACATTTTTCTCATTTATAAAGGGGCGTAGTACCAGTCTCCAGGGAACTGGTAAATGTTGAACAATTAGCTCTCAGGGTTAGCCAAAATAGGGTTTGCTAATTTCTGTAGTGTAATTATTCCCACCATGGCCTCTTTCAAGCTACCAGTGGGACATCCCTGAACACAGAACCAGGAGAGATGGGCAGCAGCAGCACACCATGACATGGGATATCCATCAGGGAGATGCAGTAGGCCTCAGTGACCTCAGAAGCCAAGATGATGGTTCAGTCTAGTGAAAGCACTAGGAAGCAGTGTGCTTTAAGTATTACTTAAAAAATATATGTTATTTAGTGGTAAGTTTATATAATTTGATTTTAAATAATAATGGGGTATAAAAACCAGCTGGCCAAATTCCAGAAAATTTAACAGTGGGCCTATTTGAGCTGTGTACATCCTACCTAGTTCTAGCACATTGCTTTCCGTCTCCAGCTCCTGGATTTCCTAAATAACACTGCAGTGAAGATTTCTCCATGATACATACCCAAATCACAGACTGTGTGACCGGAATGTGACCGAGTATACTGCCAGGTTCTTCTCCAGAATGGCCAGGCCAGCTTGCCTTCCTACTAGCAGTGCCTGCGGGTTCCCATGCTTCCCTGACGAGGTGCATAGATATATAATAAAGTGTACAAGGACACGGCAGATGGGTGCTGCCATACCATGTAATACTTGAAGCAACAGTGAGGCCTCCAACTTGGAAAATCCACTGATAAGCATAGTGCCTGGTGATAAAAAGTAAAAGCAGAATTAGATGTATAGTACAATACTGTATATTTAAATGCATACAAAACAATAGACTTATCAAGAATATTCAAATTAAAAGATGCACATCAGATGTATTTGAATGGTGGCTCATGGAGAGAAGGGATTTATTGTGTCAATGAGCCACATTCAAGCTTATCTTCCTATTGTCTCTAATAAATCTGTGAAAGTTTACACGTTTATCTAATTTATTTTCCAGGAAAACCACATGGAACCTATATTTACTATATTTGCATAGTTAAGCAATGTTTCCAGTAGAGGAGCTACATACAGCAATCACTAAACTTAAAACCATTCAAGCTAATTTATCTGTTTATTGGTAGGATTTATTATAACACTTGCAGAGCTGAAATTTAATTTCTGTCTTATGTATATTATCCCACTTAACCTTAAAACAAAGATTTGAAGCCTAGAGGAGCTAAATGTTTTACCCAGGATGAGAGAACTAGCAAGGACAAGGGCAGCAGCTACTTAGCAAATACACAAATTACTTGGCAAGGAAAAGAAAGATTGACATGGACTTTGCTGGGTAAATGTGGGACCACTGGGCTCTACATCTTCATTATTTTCTCATGCATTCTTTGCCCCAAGGCAGAAATCAAATATTATAACAATGATTATAAGTGTGAATTATTTTATATTTATTTAAATAATGGAGCTGGCAAGGGCCTTGGAGATTTTAGAAAACCACTTGCTATTACTTACATGATCAGTATAACAAGGCTTAGAAAATGCAAGTTTTCTAATTTGTCCAAGATTACATGGAAAATTTTCTAAATATCCAGGATAGGAAACCCAATTTTCTAACTCTTCGGCCAAGTGTGGTTTAATAGAATCAGATAGACTTTTTAGATTCTAGAAAGATAGGACCATCATCTAGCCATAGAGCTTAGGCAAGCTGCCGGACATTCCCAAGCCACTGTTTCCTGTCACCCAATAGGAATAATACCTGACTCGGATGGTTGCGGCAGAGATCATTCATTCATGCATTTATGCATTTATTGAACCAATCTTTAGGGAGGCAACTTGTATGGGCCAGGCACTGTTCTAGGCACAAGGATGTGATAATGAGTATATAAAAATTCCTGTACTTGAGGAGCCTACATTCTAGCAAATTTATATTCAAATGGCTGAATAAATAAATCTGTAAATAAATCAACCAAAGAGTGCTATAAAAAATAAGGCACGGTAAGGAAGTAGAGATGAAGAAGGCTGAATTTTTAGTTAGGGAGATCAAGTGTATGTCTTTAAGAAGGTAGTATTTGAGCTGAGACCTAAAAGAAATGAGGGCGCAAGCCATTCTAAAGTCTGGAGGAAGAAGGATTATGAGAGGAAACAAGAAAAAAGCTCCAAGGTAGTAATAAACTTGTCTTGTTCCAAAAAGAACATTGTAGGGGAACCGAGTGAAGGAGGCTAAGTGTAACACAAGGTGAATTCAGTGAGATAAGCAGATTATGTTAAGACCTTACAATTGATGGGAAACAGAAAACCATTAGGAATTTTAAAAGAGAATTGACATCATTATATCTGATATACGTTTTTTATTTGTTTACTTTATGATGACACTATTTTTTATTTCTATCAGAGGCCCCTTCACATTTCTTCTTGCTAATGCAGAAGACTTTTCAGTTTGAATTACATTTTTTAAAGATTACTCTGATGAGATTGTAGGGGACCAAAGGTGCTAACAGGGAGACTGGTTAAGAGACTGTTGTGGTAGTCCATATAAAGAGATGGTGGTTGTTTAGACAGGGGAGGTAGTGGTGGAAGTGCTGAGGAGCAGTTGCATTCAGGATCTATGTTGACCCGAACATTGGGTAATTCATTATCTATTTATCCAATTGACTATATGATGCTGCCATTTACCAGAGGAGGACTGGGAAAAAAGCAGGTTTTTCAGGGGTAGAGAGGTATGGGTAGGGGAGCAAGTATTCTGTTTTAGATATGTTAGGTTCAAAAAGGTTATTAGACATCCAAGAATAAAGATGTCAGGTAAGCAATTGGATATATTTCTCAGTTGTGTGGAAGAGGATGAATCTGAAGACATAAATTTGAACATAATCCATGTTTACATGTTGTAAGTGAAGATACAGATGGCAAGAGACCCAAAGACCAAATCCCAAAGCACTTCAACATTTAGAAGTCAGAAAAAGAAAGAGAAACTAGCAAACAATAGAAGAGGCCAGTGAAATCAGGAAAATCATGAGGTGATGGTGTCTGAAAGCCAAACAAGGAAAGGCTACAAAAAGGGATGAAGAGATCAACTGTGTCAAATTCTCCTGAAAGTTGGCTAAGGTTAGATTTGACCATTGACAAGACAGAAGCCATTGGCAACCTTGACAAGAGCAGTGTCAGCTGGAGGTTGGGAAAGAAAGATTGCTTAGAGTGTGCTGAATGAATGACACTGTGGATACAAACAATTCTGTCACAGAGATTTTGTTTTAAAGAGGTGCAAAGAAATGGGTGACAATTAAGAGGGGTTTGTAGAGACCAGGAATGATGTGGTAGATAGGATATTGTTCCTAGTTATTTCCTGCCCCTCTGATTTGTGTCCTTGCTCTACAGGAGAGAGGGTGGAGCATATGTCTCCACCTACTTGATGTTGGACTTAGCTCATGACTTACTTTGGCCAATGGAGTGTTGTAAAATGGGCCACAAGCAAAGGCCTTAAACGTATTTGAGAAGTTTGGCTTGGCCTCTTGTGGTCCTGTGGAAAGCACACATATGCGCGTGCGTGCGCGCGCGCGCGCGCGCACACACACACACACACACACAGAGAGAGAGAGAGAGAGAGACAGAAAGAGAGAGAGAGAGAGAGAATTGAATAGCTGCTGGTCCAGAGAAAATGTGAAGACATGTGGAGGGGATCCGGCCCTAATATGAACCTTGAATCAAGTTTAGCCAACCTGCGACCTGAAGTGGAGCTCCCCAGAAGATCATGGGCTGATAAATGAGAAAAATAAGTGCTTATTATTATGACTTATTGTTAAAAAATAAGTGTTTATTATTGTGATTAATTAATTTATTTTACTTTTTTTTTTTTTGAGACGGAATCTCGCTCTGTCACCAGGCTGGAGTGCAGTGGTGCAATCTTGGGTCACTGCAACCTCCGCTTCCCGGGTTCAAGCGATTCTTCTGCCTCAGCCTCCCAAGTAGCTGGGACTACAGGTGTTTGCCACCATACCTAGTTAATTTTTGTATTTTTAGTAGAGACAGGGTTTCACCGTATTGGCCAGGATGGTCTCAATCTCTTGATCTCATGATCCACCGGCCTCAGCCTCCCAAAGTGCTGGAATTACAGGCGTGAGCCACCATGCCCAGCCTGTTGTGATTTATTGCACAGAATATCCAGATTGGACTAAGCTCCCCTACTATGTGCTTCCATAACCCTCATTCTTCCACTCTCATAACTTTAGATGCATGTATCACAAATGCTTGCTCTGTCTCCCTCCATCATACCCTCAGTCATTTGAAGGTCTTGGTTGTGCCTGTATCATTCACAGTTGTCTCCTCAGTGCCTCATGCAGTGCTCAGCACATAGTAGGGGCTCAACAGGTATTTGTTGAGTGGAAAGGATAAAGTACAATGATTTGAGCTTGAGACACACTGATCAGGGCTTTCTGTGCATACCAGGCTCTTTATCTCACTACGGAGAGTGGTGTGCATTGTTGACATTTGCTGTAGGCAGTTTGTCTCCTCTAAGATAAAAGACCAGGAAAGACTGTAATATGTGATCCCTTCCGGTGTCTGCTCATCTGTACTGTCAAAATCCTAACCATCCTTTAAGACCAAGCTCAATTCCCATCTTACTTAGGAAGGAAGCCTCTCCTGGATCCCAGATCCAGCTGGAATTTTTCCCCTTAGTATTTACAACAGTTAGCACCTGTCTTACAGCCTTGATCAGATGTTTATCTAAAATTCTTGTATGTTCTCACTGTAATCCCATCCCCCTCCTCCCTTCACCAATTAGACTGCTTTTTGAGTAGTATCCCTGGAACCTAGCCCAGTGCTGCACATGTAAGACATCTCAATAAATGTCTGTTAATGAATAGTTACTGAATAAATCAATGAATGGATACTTTCATTCACACTTTTATTCCTCCCAGCATTTAGTACTGCTTTGCACATTGTAGGTACTTGAGAAATATGCACACTCACACCCCCACTCACCCGCCACTCCTGCAACTTCTCCAATATTTGGGAGAGGACTAACAATTTTATCTAGTCTTTTGGGTGATTCCTAAATGATTCTCCAACAAGAGATAAGGGCAGTCCTCGCTCACTCTAATCCCTTGTAATCTGGGCCTGCCAATAGAATAGCTGTGTTAACCAAATCAATGGTCTGGTTCTGGCTTTCTTCCCTATGGATGTTTCTTTAGCATTTTGCATTGCTTATAATCCATGGGAAGCTGTTTGTTCGTTCGTTCTTTCTTTTTTCTTTTTTTTTTTTTTTTGATGGAGTCCTGCTCTGTTGCCCAGTCTGGAGTGCAGTGGCGCAGTCTTGGCTCACTGCAACTTCCATCTCCCAGGTTCAAGCGATTAGCCTACCTCAGTCTCCTGAGTAGCTGGGATTACAGGCGCCTGCCATGATGTCAAGCTAATTTTTGTATTTTTAGTAGAAGTGGGGTTTCACCATGTTGGCCAGGCTAGTCTCGAACTCCTGACCTCAGGTGATCTACCTGCCTCGGCCTCCCAAAGTGCAGGGATTACAGGCATGAGCCACCGCGCCCAGCTGGGAACTTGTTTTGAAAATTCAATTCTAAGTATGGATTCAGTTGTATAGTTTCCTCAAACTCTTCAGTCTGTTTCTTGATTTTTTTTCCTAAATGAATAATCATGTTCTTTGCCTATGGTCATATAGTAAACCACAACTCTCTTTCAATATCACCATCCTCCCTCTACCAAAGGTTTGATTTGCTATAAACTATCAATATTGAATTAGCAATTTACTACTGTTCAGAATTTTGATGTCCCAGATAATAGTAATCTTGGGGTTCCAGGTCTTTCAGTGGTGGAAGAAGAGGTAGCCTGGGATTTACCTCAAGGTAGCTGCCTATTCGTGGGGGTCCCAGATCTACCTGGCTCAGTAGGAAGAATGTTGGCCCAGGATGAGGCCTGACCCTTCTCTCACTTAATGATTTCTGAGTCCCTCTTGCTGGATCTACAAAATGGAAATTTGACTTACCTCCCAGATCTGTTGTGAGGGTCAAATAAGAACCTGTGAACATTTTCATAAACTTTATAGTGCTATATAAATATATAGCATTGGTAAAGCCATCTCCTCTATTGATGAGTCCTGCCTCGTGTCTGAATTCTAGCATTCAAAATTTATACCTTTCTCTAAAGAATGACTTTCATGAGTTTTGATGGACAATGTTGTTTGTCGCTCCAATAGTCAGTCCCTTCTCCCTTGCTAACATGACTGCTTTTATTTGGGGCAGTGATGTGCCGTGGATCCTGGATCCTGGATCCATCATGATTCATGGCATATCATTGCCCCAAAGGTGGAGCACCATATCACTGGTGCCCTGAGGTGGAGCACCAAGGTGGAGCACCAGTGGAACACCACCTTGAGGTGGACCACCACATCATGCTTTTATTTGGGGCAGTGATGTGCCATGGATCAGGATGGATCATGATCCATATCAGTCAAAGGAATCCTTGATGGAACATTTGCTCTCCCAGCCCCCCATGCAACTAAGGCTGGTCTTGTAACCCAACCCTGACCAATGAGATATAAGAACACATTTGCTGATATGTTGTCAGAAACAAGTTGTCTCCCAGTAAGAGGAGAACCAGCTTTTCCATTCCATGTCTTTCTTTTATTTCTGTCTTGAACATGGTTATGTGCAGACACAATGGCCAGGGCCGTGAAAAGCCATTTTGCAAACATGAGGCAACAAGCCTAGGGACAGCAAGTTTAGGCAATAAGCCTCCTCTACCTTCCCCAAAACAGAACCAACGATTGTAGCCAGGAGAGCAAGATGCTCAGTGCTCACTCTTAAACCAAGCACAGAGAGGTTAAGTAATTTGCCCAACATCACATAGCTAGTAGGAGGTAAAGTGGAGAGTTGAACCCAAGTGTTTTATTCCCAAATGACTGTTTTGTTTTGTTTCTTCCACTGCATCTTTTTTCTTACCTGTAGTCCTGGTCTCTTCGTACACTCATCCTGGGGGATCATACCCAGGATCATGCTTTCTAGCAAAGAACTCCAAATCTACATTCCCAGCCCCAGGCTAATAAGAGCCAATCCCCGTCACATTTCTGCTGGATGGTCTCAGGCTGTCTTACTAGTAATATCAAGCTCCTATGTCTAAAACTGAACTCATTTATCCTTGCGACTTCAATACTTTTTCCTTCCCTTGATTTAGCTCATTTTGGTTAGTGGAATCCCAAGTCTCCTAGTCGTCACATGGTGTTGAGGACAGAATGTAGGTTTTGAAATCAGAAGAGTTGACTTCAGATTGATCAGCAGTGGGTTGCAGAATCATTGAAAGGGTTGAAGAAATCCAGCTCTGTTGAGCTTCCAGGAACAATAACCAAAGCCACAATGCAGACCTGAATTGCCAAGAGAGCTATTGCCCTCTCTGGTCCCCTTGGGACCATGACTGTATTAGGGAGAGAAATCAGCATCACCAGGAGGCAGCCACTGCCACTGGCAGCTCCAGCCCCAGGACATATCTGCTACAATTCACCCCAGCAAAACAGGATGGCATGTCTGCCACTTATCCTGAGTCTGTTTTTTTCTCTCTCCATCAAATCATTGGTACCCTGCAACAGCCCTCAATTGCACTGTCTTTTTAGGTAACATTCTTCTCTAGTGCCAGAGGTATACGAGGAGACAGGAGCATGTCCCCTGTCACCAGTGTCCCATCCCAATTCACTGCCAGTGACAGCGGGACATTGCCAATACCCCACCCACCACAAGTGATGGAATCTTCACTGCCTGCTGGCCAACAAGTAGTTCATCCCTAAAAATCCCATTTTAGAGTGTGCTTCCTAGGATCGCTTCTCTTACCAACTGCCTTAGACAGGAATCCCTGCAAACAGACTCTAAGCTGGAGAGTAGAACGCAGAAAGTTTACTCAAGTGCTTCAGGAAATATGCCTCTAAAGGAGGAAGGAAGGGTCGGGCGTGGTAGCTCATGCCTGTAATCCCAGCACTCTGGGAGGCTGAGGTGGGCATATCTCCTGAGGTCAGGAGTTTGAGACCAGCCTGGCCAACATGGTAAAACCCCATCTCTACTAAAAATACAAAAATTAGCCGGGTGTGGTGGCAGGTGCCTGTAGTTCCAGCTATATGGGAGGCTGAGGCAGAAGAAGTGCCTGAACCTGGGAGGCGGAGGTTGCAGTGAGCCCATTTCACACCACTGCACTCCAGCCTGGGTGACAAGAGTGAGACTTTGTCTCAAAAAAAAAAAAAAAAAAGAGAGAAGGAAGGAAGGAAGGTGGGAATGGGCAGAGGGAGAAGCTGACTTGTGATTTGGTTGTTATTGAGGCCTTTCTCACCCCAAAGGCTCCACTCACAGCATTCCTACCTGCCATAGAGGCTTTACATACCTTCACATCTGCTGGATTCTGTGGCCGAAGTGGAAGAGCAGCCTGCACAGCAACTGCGCTCGTGGAGCTGCTTCTCACTCCAGGCGTCCCAAACCTGGCAGCTTTCAGGATCCTGCAGGGAGCTCTGGAGCAGTGTTGGCCTTTCACTTGTCCTAAATTGAAGCAAGGAGGTCAGTCACTGGCCCTGGGCTGCCCCTTAGGAGGGAGCAGAACTTCAGATGGGGCAGCCCCCGCCACTGACCACAGTTCCAGAGAGGGGTGCAGCTGTGAGAATCAGCAGGCAGTGTGCCCAGCATCTGGAGGGGGGGTGTCGGCCCTGAAGAGGGATTGGAGGTGGAGCCCCACAGCATCTGCTGCATGTGAGTGTTCACTCTAAATGAAGGAAACAGCACCAGGCTGGAGAACGGGGAGGGCAGTGAGTTTGGCCCTGGGACCTGTGTTTGTGTCCCAGTTCCCAGACTTACTCACTCTGTAACTGTGTTCAAGTAATGTCACGTTCCTGAACATTTGATTCCTCATTTGAGTAATGGTTATGATCGTAAGAACACCTTGCCCTGCCTCTGCGCGTGGCTAAAGTTAAACCAAATGAGAATCTGGAGGTGAGAGTCCATGATAAAATATTGTATGAGTGTGAGGAGTTCTAATTAATGGGGTCTGATTTCAAAGAAGTGTGCACCAGGGATATTGAGGTCTAGAGTAGAGGTCACTGAGGCTTATGCCAGAGTCTTAGCTGGCAGAGTTTTACAAGGAGGAGGAGAAAGCTGCTTATCTCTGTGCTTCCAGGAAATGAGGACTAGTAGGGATAGAGCCCTAAAGGAAGGAGGAAACTTGGTGAAGAAAGAAGAAACAAAGAAAAAAGAGATGGAATCCCAGTAAGGAAGACGGAGAAGAAAGTGAAGTCAACATTTGTTAAATAACTACCCTGTGCCAGATGTTAGGCTGGGCCCTTGTACCTGTATTCTCTCTCCGTAAGGGAGATGATTCTCAGAAACTTTTGCTTGCAGGTGAAAGGAAATCCAACTATCTTTTTTTTTTGAGATGGAGTCTTGCTCTCGCTCTGTCACCCAGGCTGGAGTGCGATGGTGTGATCTCGGTTCACTGCAACCTCCGCCTCCCAGGTTCAAGTGATTCTCCTGCCTCAGCCTCCCAAGCAGCTGGGATTATAGGTGCCCGCCACCATACTCAGCTAATTTTTTGTATTTTGTTAGTAGAGACGGTATTTCACATTGGTCTCCATCTCCTGATCTCATGATCCACCGGCCTCAGCCTCCCAAA